TAGAAGATGTCGTTGGGTGGCATGAATAGGGCACTGTTGGAACACCATCAGTGGGATGGGACATCAGTGGGACTCCACTGGGACCTGTGTCTGGTGGGCCATTGGAGGGCACCCTTAGATTCCCACTGAAGGTCATGGCCATCCCTGGAATATTGGGCTCTCCTACGGACATCACCTGGGGCCCCTTAAAAATCGTCATTCCTGGCTGAGAGGGAGACAGTGTCTGACAACCAATCATCTGGGAAGGAGAGAGAGTCACTTGGGGGCCATAGTTCACATCCTGCTCGGGCAGCCACATACTGAAAGGTGGGCCCATTTCATTCACATTCTGCTTGGAAGCCTCAGCAGAAACCAAGGGGATCCTCTCCAGCTGTGGACACTGAAGAATGTGTTGAAGACCTGATGGACCGTGGTTCCAAGAGGTGTGCCCTCCACTGCTTCTGGCAGATGGAGACATGTCCAAGGTGCTCATTGACTCCTCAGTCTCCTTGGGGGAGGAGGGAGAGAGGGGGAGAGAGTGAGAGATGAAATTCATCGTAGCTCCAATTCCAGGTCCGCACATCCCTCCTCCCCATCTCCAGACCCCACAGGAACCCAGGCCTCTGTCATCTCTGGCCTGAATTACCTTTTACCTGCAGGCCATTCTCCAGCTCGGGCTCTTCTAAGACACAGAACCTTGCTGATAGGACTGTGGGAGCCTAGGTGTCACTCATGCCACTTTTCCTCTTTGGCATTTTTTTAAATTGACTGATTAATTTTAGAGAAAGATACACATCAGTTTGTTGTTCCACTTAGTTATGCATTCGCTGGTTGACTCTTGTATGTGCCTTGACTGGAGATCCAACCAGCAACCTTGGTGTATCGGGGTGACTGTCTAGGCAACTGAGATACTCGGCCAGAGTAATGGCATGTTTTTGTTTATTATTCCATAAAAAGCAACCAAAAGGGCAAATAAGAATGGAGACTTCGAAAAGAGAGAGAAGAAAAGAAAAGAAAAGAAAAGAAAAAAAGAGAATGGAGGCTTTGAATGGGTCCTGGTTTTAGCAAAACTTAGAAACCACCTGCAAATATTTAGCTACAGAAGAGGGTCTCGCCAGAATGGGAACTGCTGTGGCAGGTCTGAGATCAAGTGTGGGAGGAGGTCAGAAAAGGAGACAGACTTTTAAAAGCACTTTTAAACAGGGCAAGGGAAAAAATAAACCTCAAAAGAATCTTAAAAAAAAAGAAAGAAAAAGAAAGGTGGGAAGGTAGGGGATTGTCCTGGAAGTTAGGGCAGTAGCCCTAACTGAAGACACACTGATATAAGAGGAAAGAAAAAAGAAATTGGTGGCAGGACCTCTTGAAACAGGAGAGGACCCAAACATCCTATTTTTCACATTGCCCACCATGCAGCAGTAGAGAGAGCTCTTGAGCCGGGGAACTGGGGATGCTGCCCCGTCACCACCCACCCACCCGCTCTTCCACTGGGACAGCGCGGGAAAGACCAAGCCAACATGAAAACCAAAGCATAAGTTGAAAAATACAGTATCCCATAAATAAATTCAATAAAGATACAAAAACATCAAACCAGAAATTAAAGATTGTAATTTCTCAAAAGAAAAATAAAATTCACCAGAGAAATGCTGCCACAGGTTGAAGAAAAATTAGTAGCATTCAAATACAGCTTTTTTAAAAAAGAGGAAAAAAGCAGAACTTAAGAAAACAATTGCAGCATTGACGCCAATTACAGATCACATGCCGGGTGGGGAGAGTGATAAGGGAGGAAAGGAGGGGGAGGGACTGTTCAGACAGGTGCGCACTGTTGCCCGTGGACGACAGTGCGGGATTGACTGGGGGCGGGGGAGAGGAGGGGAAAAGAGAAAAATTGGGACAACTATAATAGAACAACATGAAAAAATTTGTTTAAGAAGCACAGAGCAGAAATAGATAATTCAGTAAGCTGCACACTTTAAATATTTATACCACTAAACATTTAAAGGAAGACACCAATGTTTTTTCAAATTCTTCCCAAAAACTGAAGAAGGAAATAGTTCTTAACTCACTCTATGAATGTATCATTGCCCCATGCAGAGCCTGACCAAAAAAAAATCACAAGTGAAGAAAACAATAGATTGAGTCTTTTATGAATATAGATGCAACAATCCTCAATAAAAAAAAAAGAACCTAGCAAATAAAATCCATCAGCATATTAGCGGATTATACAGTATGACCAAGTGGAACTCATCCCAGAAATGCAAGGGTGATTCGACATATGAAAAACCACTCAGTGTAATGTACTATATACGTAAAATAAAGGGGAAAAAACACATCATCTCAGCTGATGCAGAAAAAACATTTGAAAAAATTCAATATCCTTTCATGATTAAAAAACACTCAAAGGCTGGAAAGAGAAAAATCCAACATAATGAAAGGTATTCACAAAAAACCCGCTGCTAACCTCGTACTCAAGTGAAAGACTGAAGGCCTTTCCTCTGAGATCAGGAACCAGACAAGATGCCCAATTGCACTTCTAGTCAACATCGTATTGGCAATTCGAGCCAGAGCAATTAAGCAAGAAGAGAAATAAAAGGTGTCCAAATTGAAAAAAGAACTAAAACTTTCCCTGTTCTCAGATAACACAATCTTATGTGCAGAAAACCTGAAAGCCTTCACGCACACTGACAAAACCTGTGAGCGCCAATGAACAAGTGCAGCAAAGCAGCAGGATACGAAGGCACCACCCACCCACCCAATCAGTTGTTGCTATACCCTGACAATGAACAATCTGAAAGGACAATTAGGAAAACAATTCAATTTATGATAGCATCAAAAAGAATTAAATACTTAGAAATAACTAAGGAGGTTAACTTAATCCCTAAACACTACAAAACATTACTGAAGGAAATCAAATACTTAAATAAATGAAAAGACACATTCACAGATTGGAGTACTTAAGTTATGAGGTGAATGTTACCCGAAGCAATCTATAGATTTAATAAAATTCCTATCAAAATCCTTTGGGCAAAAATAGAAATATTCACCCTAAAATTCATTAAAAGTCACAAGGGATCCCAAATAGACACACACACACACAAATCTTGAAAAACTTACTACAAAGCTATACTAATCAAAACAGTATGGTATTAGCATTAAGAACAGACCTACAGTACTGACTGGTGTGGTACAGTTGGTTGCAGTGTTGTCCCAATAAACCAAAGGTTGTGGGTTCGATTCCCAATCAGGACACATACCTAGGTTATGGGTTTGGTCCCCATTTGGGGCATTTGCAAGAAACAAACTGATCCATATTTCTCTCTCAAATTGATGTTTTTCTCCTCACCCTCCCCTCTCTAAAATTAATAAGCATGTCCTTGGGTGAGGATTTAAAAAACAAAACAAAATATAGGCCTATAGACCAACAGAAATACAGCCCAGAAATGAACCCTCACACATATGGTGAAATGATTTTTAACAAGCTTGCCAAGACCTCTCAATGAAGTAAAAAGACAGTCTTTTCCATAAAACTGGATATCCACACAAAAGAATCAAGCTGGAACCTTACTTAACACCATATAAAAATTAACTCAAAATGGATCAAGACCTAAACATCAGACCTAAAGCTATGAAACTCTTAGAAGAAAACAGGGGAAGTTTCGTGACATTTGATTTCGCAGTGATTTCTTGAATATGAAATGAAAGGTGTAGATGACAAAACATAAAATAGATAAAATTGGACTTTATCAAGATTAAAATGTTTGTGCATCAAAGGACACTCTCAACGATATAAGCAAACAAAAGAATGGAAGATAATATCTGTAAATCACATATCTGGTAAGGACTAATATTCAGAATATATATTTTTAAAACTTCTAAAACAACAGAAAAACAAACAACCCAATACAAAAATGGACATAGGACCTGACATTTCTCCAAAAACATACAAATGACCAATAAACACATGAAAAAAATGTTCAACATCACTAACCATTAGGGAAATGAAGATCAAAACCACAACGAGATACTACTTCACACCCATTAAAATTACTATTTTTTAGTAATAGTCATCAGCTATGACTGGTGTGGCTCAGTGGGCTGGGTGTCCTCCCACAAACCCAAAGGTGGCCTGTTCAATTCCCCATCAGGGCACATACATGCCTGGGTTGTAAGCTAGGTCCCCAGCTGGGGATATGCAAGAGGCAACCGATCAATGTTTCTCTTGCACACTGATGTTTCTCTCCCTCCCTTTCTCCTCTCTCTAAAAATAAATACAACCTTTTTTTTTTTTTTCCAAAAAAGCATTAGCAAGATGTGAAGCAACTGGAATCCTTGTGCATTGCTGTTGAGAATGTAAAATGTTGCAGCTACCATGGAAAACTGTATGGCGGTTCCTCAACACATTAGAAACAAAATTACTATGTGATCCAGCAATTCCTCTTCTGGGTATATACCTGTAATTGAAATGTATTGCAGGGACCTGCGATAGAGAGTTGTACCCTCCTGTTCAAAGCAGCACTTTTCACAATAGTCAAAATGTGGAAGCCACCCAAGTGGCGTTGAATGAGGAATGGATAAAAACAGTGGTCTGTCCATACGACCGAATACTGTTCTGCCTTAAAAGGGAAGAAAATTCTAACACACGCCTCAGCCTGAGCGAACTATCGTGCTAGATGCGAACCATGTCTTCTTAGCACGTGAAGACATCATGCTAAGTAGAATACACCAGTTGCAAAAGCGCAAGTAATGCATGATTTCATTCATATGAGGTACTCGGGAAGTCAAACCCAAAGAGACAAAGTAGAATGGTGGTTGCCGGGGGACTGGGGTTGGAAGGGGGGTGGCAAATCACTGCTGAGTGGTTAGGGAGTTTCAGTTTGGGAAGATGAGAAAAGTTCTAGAAGGTGGCCGGCGAAGATGGCTGCCCAATGATGCACACGAGATAATGCCACAGAACTGTACACACTTAAACATGGTTATGATGACACTTTCGTATTACGCAGATTTTATAATGTTTTTTTCCTCTCTAAAAATACGAACGCTTCACAAGTTCGCATGTCATCCTTGCTCGGGGCCACGCCAATCTCCTCTGTATCGTTCCAGTTTTGGTGTTTGTGCTGCCGAAGCGAGCACTAGATTTTACAATTTTTAAATGTTTTTTAAAAAGACACAGAAGGGATCCCCACCGCCAAGTTTGAAAAAATTTGAGAGTCAAAAAGAATAACGAATATCGACTTGAACAGATTGAATCTATGAAAATTCATGAGCCAAATGTGACAAGGAGCCCGCTCTTATCCCAGCTTCAGACGTCGTGACTTGAAGTAAAAGAATCAAGTAGTCTGTCTTTTTGGTTGGAAACTGTTATTTCAAAACCAAATTATTTCAGTGGTTTAAGAAAAATCCTACTTTACAGAAGAATACAACAGAATAAATGTAGAAGAAATGGTGAAATCGGAAAATCATGATTTTACAGCCCTTAATGAAACTTTTGATTGAGGGAACGTTAGCATTTGGTTGAAACAAGTATGTGACTACTTGGCTGCATCCAAGGGCAGAGCCCGCAGGTTGTATTTCTGACTGCAAGGCTGAAGACAAGCTTGAAGAGAGTGATCGATCAGCCTTTTTGCCACCTTCATTCGAGGGCCGAGCCTGGCGTCACCAAATGCCGAGAGCCAGATGAGCCTCCCCGAGTAATTCGAGACGAAGCTTACTGTACCTATGAGATGTTCTTACCAAAAATCAGGAATCCAATGAAACTTTAAGCTCTAACTCTAATTTAGTGGTAATACAAAAGACAGAAGACCAAGCTAAACGATACCATGAGTAACCAATCTGATAAATCCAGAAGAAGGAACAGTCTTACAGAATCAAAATTCAGGATCACAAAAAAAGGAAAGTTAGTCAGCAAAAAGTTTCCCAAAGACCCAAAGGACATCATAACCGCATGCAGTGTGGTCTGAAATTGGATCCTGGTTTGGACATATCAGCTAAAGGACATTTTTAGGGGAATTTGCATAAGAATTACACTAAAAGATTATTTACTGCCCTGGCTGGTGTGACTCAGGGCGCTGAGTGCTGGCCTGTGAACCCAAAGGTTGCTGGTTTGATTCTGGTCAGGGTGCAGGCCTGGGTTGCAGGCCGGGTCCCCAGTTAGGGGCGCATGCAAGAAGCAACTTAAAAATGTTCTCTCACACATCGATGATTCCCTCCCCCTCATTCTCCTTCCCTTCTCTAAAAGTAAATAAAATCTTTCTAAAAAGATCATCTATCATTCATCTTGATAGGTTTACTAAAGTTTTGACTATGGAGAGGGGAAAAAAATGTTAAGCCCCTTTCCACATGCTGGGGAGATCTTGTTTCATCCACCACTACAGGCTCAGCAACTAGCCTGAGTGGACACGTAACAAGCCCCAGATAAATGTCCATCGGATGGGTATTTCTGGTGTGCCGTCCCCCTTTCTTTCTGACCCTTCACAGGCAAACTTTCATGGGAAATGTCTGAACTCACCTTTACCACTACCTCAGTATTATTTCCCCAAATTCACCCCCATCCCCACTGCTCCACCGAGCCAGCTTGCACAAAAGGCCACCAGTGGCCTCCATATCACTAAGTCCAAAACTTCGTCAGACTCCTCTGTGTGTGGCCTCTCTGGAGCTTCCCAGACAGCTGGCCACTCTTTCTGAAACGTTTCCTCCCCTTGGCCTTCGGAACACAATGCAGGGACATCTATGCACATTTGCCTCATCTTCTTCCTTCTCTCCAGCCCTCCTCCTTCCCAGTCTCCTGCTACAGGTCTCCATGTGCTATTCTCAGGCAACCTTTCTCATGCTAACAATCCATTTCTGTTTATAGTCCAATTATCTTTAAAACAACAGCTCCAGGGCAGATCTATCCCAAATCTTCCAGCTGCCTAAGGCTCTGTCTACCTGGATAACCCACAGGCATTTTGGACTAAGTCCAAAACTCCTGACCATCCTTACCCACCCCCAAGCTAGCTCTAGAGAGGAAAAACAACGACAACCTAATCCGGTTTCTTCTCTCATCCTTTGCTCTCTCAGAAAATGTCCCCACTCTTCTCACCTAGTGGTGAGAACCAGAAGTCTGTTAACTGTCCCAGATGCCTCCTTCATCACCTAGACCCAGTAAATCACCAGATCTTTCGGTGTCCACCGCCAAAAACATCTCTAGGACCTCATTCTCCTCTGCCACCCCTCCAGTTAGGCCGCCATCTTAACTTCCACTTGGATTATCACAATAGCTTTCTACCTATTGCCTTGAATTCTGCCCACAATCGCCTGGGCGCTCTTTTAAAAAATGAATTGCGACAGATCAAGGTTAAACTCATCGAGGGCTTCCTACTGCTCTTGCAATAACTTACATCCCTGCCTCCCCTCCCCTTGGGCCTCTCTCCCTTCTCTCTCTTGGCCAGGTCTCACTTCCTCCAAGGTGGGGGAGCACTGTTCCTGGTCTCAGGACCTGCAGGCCAGCCACCTAACCAGTTCTCCAGTCCCAGACCAAATCCACAGCTGTCTTCTTGTGTCTTAACCAAGATCGAACATCTCTGCTACTGGTTCCCGTGGTCTTTTGCTCCCTCACAATTTGTACACTTCCAATCATTCAGTGATTTCTTAGTAAAATGGTATAATGTCTTACGGAAAACTCACCATGTATTCCCAGGGTCTCATAAAGACCCGACACTTCATAGGGCTCAAAAAATATTTAATTTTTCTTACGTGTACGTGTCCCACTGCCTTCCTAACTTTGCCTTCTTTCCCCGGTACTCAAGTCCCTGTCCTTGAAGTTACCTGGCACCAGCACAGGCGCTAAGGCTCGGTGAATATTAATGGGATAAAAGACATGAGACTTTTTGGCGGTAGATGTATAGGGTAATGTCCAGTTGCAGCAACACTGCATTTTTTTTCAACTACGGTTTACATTCAATATAACACACATGATTTGTGTCCTGGATCTCCCATCCCTGCCAATCCCGTCCCTCCATCTTCTAAAGCCCAAAAGTCTGCTTTCCTCCACTCCTCCAGCCTCAGTTCCTCCAACCCCCGCGCCCTGCCCTGGGGCTGACGCCTGACCCACCTCTGGTAACTGGTGCTGAGCTGCCTGCCACTGGCTCAGAACTTCGTCCATTTGCTCCATCTCAGCCTGGGATCCGCTGCACTAGGAACTGGGTGCAAGCCCAAACCACATCAGAGCAGAGCTGAGCCCAGGCGCCGGCCTCGCAGGTCGGGTGTCGCGTAAGTCCACGCCACAATCACAGCGTTCCACCTCTACTTCCCGCCGCGCTGGGGGGCGGGGCCAAGGGCCACACCCACCGAGTCGCTGCGCAGCCCAGCCGCAGCCCCACCCTGCCCGGCTCTGTCTGCCCAGATTTCTGCAGGGCCGAGACCTCAGACATTCACAACTTCTTGTCTTAGGCCTGCCCTTTTCACCCTTCAGTCTGAGCATGTCTGTTTGGCCCAAATAGGGGCGGGACACTGAGGTTTCAGACTCCAGGGAGAAACCCAGAAAGTGGCCGGACAGAGTGGCTAGGCGGGCTGTAGGGCCTCTGCAGACAGCACGGCCTCCGCCACCACCCAGCCAGGTCAGGGCTCCGGGCAAATGGCCCGGAGCTTCTCCGCCAGGTGCGGCTGACCGCTCCGCTACAAACCCAAAGCTGAGAACTCCGTGGCGTGATGTCTTTCTTCTGTGGTACGTCCGGAGTACCTGTTAGGTGTCAGGCCTTGTTGTTCAGAACTGGGGGCACAGTGCCAAATAAGACAGAACAAAATCCTTGCTCTCAAAGAATTTTCATCCCCAATGGACAGACAAGAAATAACTATAATAAAGTCAGTAATACAATTTAAGATGATAGCAAGTGTGATAATAGAGAAATGTGGCCTAGAAGGAGCCATGCCTAGGAAGAGTGAAGGAATCCGAAGCTAGAGTTTGGTCGCTAGAGTGAAAATAGGACAGCCAGGTGACCCCGGTGATGTCAGTGAGGGGAAGAGAGGAAGGACACGAGGACAGATGGTTAAGGTCTTGAAGATCATGGACAGCAGTTTGGATTTTATTCTAAGTGTGATGGGATGCAACCGGAAGATTTTAAACAGGAAGTTGATGTGATCTCAGTTTTTAAAATAGTCTTTGGGCTCCTTTGGGGTTTATGGATTACAGGGGACAAGATGGAAGCAGAGACACCAGTTAGAAAGCTAAAGGAACTCGCCAAGAAAAAAATATGTCATTGATTGGTGGGGTTGATGACAGTGATTAGAGAATATTTTAGAATTAAATGGGCCAGACTTGGTAATGGAGTGGAGTGGTAAAAGGCTGAGAGGAAAAGAGTCAAAGAGGGTTCCTAGATTTTTCAGCTCAAGCCACTGAGTGCTGACTGCACCATTTGGTGGTATGGAAAAATGGGAAGAGAAGTAGATTTGCAAGCAGTGGAGACAAGAATTCCACTTTAGACATATTGATTTTGAAATGGCTATTAAATATGGTCAGGGAGATGCCAGGACTGTAAATGCAAATTTTGGTGTTATCGGGAAAATGTGGTGGTAATAAAGCCATTTGAGGGACAGAGTTGGAGAAAGCCTAGAGACCCCTACATTTGAGACCCAGCAAAGCAGTGAGGTCATCCAAGGAGACTCTGGAAATCAGCCAGAGGAAAGTGATTTCCCAGGTAGGGGAAAGTCAGGGCACCACATTTTAAGAAGTCAAGAGAAGCCCCTATGAGAAGAGGGACTGTTCGGCCATGGCCACGTAGCTCAGTCGGAGCCTCATCCCTATGGATGAACCTACAAACCAAGGTTGTGGGTTCATCCCCAGTCAAGCCACAGGCAGGTGAGTGCATGAACAGGGGGAACAGATGTCTCTCTCTGTCCCCACCCCGCTCCCCTCTCTCTAAAATCAATGAATGAAAGAACAATAAATAAATAACAGGGATTGTTCACCTTCAGCAAATGTTCCTACGAAACAGGCGAGTGACTGCTGAATTTAGGCAAGATGGAGGTCATTGGTGACTTTCTCAGAAGCAGTTACTGAGGGGATAGAAGCCGATTGGGGTGGGGGAAGGTGAACAGGCACCGCCAAGGTGGAGACACCGAGACTGTGTCGGTAAACAGCTCTTTCCAAGAAGTTT